CCCTTCACCTGTCCCGACAAATGGTCAATAGGCCTGAGATCTATGAAGTTCGTTCCCTAATTTTTTTCTACATATAATCATTTAGGAAGTTAAACTTTATACTACCGCACGCGAAAGAGAAAAGTGAGCCACCGAATTTTATTTGCTAGATATGATAACCTCGCCGAGTTGTATGCTGTTACCAATACACTTCAATGCCTTGAAAAGACTTATATAAAAGACTATTTACAGCCAAAAGAGTATTGATGACGTTAATTTTATACCAGATACACCGCTGCCTGCTCCAAACTCTTGGTACAATATAAGGCCGCCTTTAAGCAAGTTCAGGGTGAGGAGTTCCCCGATATTGAGACATTTTTCAGGAAATATAAGGTTTACTTTGAACTTCATTAATTTTTAAACAGATGGATTGTCCAGCTGCTCTTGAAAGGATTAAAGAAGATCGCCCAATAACAATAAAAGATGATAAAGGAAATACCAGCAAATGCATAGTCGAAGTTGTTACGGTAGTTGCCTATTTTATCTGATCATAGAAATATTAGCTATTTATTACTGTCCTCGATCGCTTAAGACTGAATTATAGGTCAATTGACGAGGTAAGATTTTTACTCTCTTATTCATATTATATAGGTTCAACCTGACATGAGAGAACTATATGAGACAATGAACAGGTTACATTTGCTCTCTTCGGATTTCGAAGGCAAAGCGAAAGTCAAAAGCTGGTAATTACTAATGACTAAAATTTATTCTTAATGACGTGTTCTTCACAATATGCTATTTCACTTCCCCCGCAGGTTAGACAAATTCGAAATGATGCAAGCTTCTGACGAACTTTCCGATACAGAGGCCCGCCAACTAATTTTTGATTTGGAATCTGCGCATAATGCTTTCAATCGCGAGCTTCATTCTGCTTGATATACCTGCGTCAAAGAAGTAGCTTTCTGGCACATATTGACTTTATTGAGCTTGTAAATATGCTTCAGTTCCGCTTAATTTTTGAGATCTAGAAGCCGGGTCTTTTCATTATTACACTTAGGTGTCCTCTTGATTCTCTTTCATTCCCATGTCTGTCACGCGTCTATCCATTTCAAGAATGGCTTCGGACCACTGAGTTTTTCGGCACCACTGTTAAGATATCGCCATTATTTATATGATAATTTTGATAAATAGATGAGTAAATCAATCAGTTACATGCCTTCTTAAACCTTTCATGATGCTCTCGATCTGACTATTTACTCATTTGAGATGCTGTGCCTGGGCTATTTACTGCTGATGCCCATTTTTAAGGTCAGCCGCTAGATTTACCCACCTGCGATGCAGCCAATTCACATTTATGCGAAGAAAAGTTGAACTTCGAGGAATTTCTTGGCTCATCAACAAAACCAGACGAGTGTCCGACCTTGTGCAATCAGAGTATGGTTATAACAAGTATGTAGAAAGGGGGAGATAGGGGTCATCAAACCTTGATGGCCAAAAACAGATGTTCCTTTTTTGCTGTCCTAATTACTTTGAGCCATCACTTGTGTTTCGTGCATAAGCGAACATAAACAGGCACATACAAATACAGAGACAGACACACTCGCATGCATCAAAGTTGACATATGACCTTAACTAACCAAATCACTTTATACTTGATCAGAGGCCAGATGCAGAGCATATATACCACTTTTTAGGGATTTACCGGTGAGCCTTCTTGACTCGTTAGCCTGAATTTTGTTGTGACGATGTTACATCGCTCTGATGACGGACGAAGGCTTAGCACCTTTTTACCGGAATCGAAAGAGATTGCCTCGGAAACAGCGTCAGCATGAATCTTTCAGTAAAACCAATTGATAGCTGGTCAAGAGGAATCCGCCCTCGTCTTTGTTGGAACCGACCTTCGAATCTCTTCACTCGAAATGGAAGTAAGCTCAACAATTTACGTTTAGCCACTCCAGAAAAAATATTAATTATGTTGAACTTGGGCGACGCTTGTTCTGCTCCTAGGTCCCACGCGTCGGTTTCGTGTATGCTTGAAAGACTTCGACCCTATATCCCTAGCCACCTTTATGTGATATGATTCCTGTCTTACTGCAGGGTGCTCGTTACCTATTGTGCTACACCTACAACTTTTCATTTGGCTAAACAAATATCATTGATGAGGAGAAGACTGGGATGGCACTTTCTGACTGTTGCTTGACAAGGAAATAGTGGTTTTTTCCCGAGCGCTGCTGCAATTTTTGCTCATGTCTTTCACTGCAGGCAGTGATAGTGCACCACCTCACGGGTCGATATTCCCTATGTTCCAAGTGAATGAAAGCCTCGAAGTGCATGAGCTTGATAAGCACACATCTCGCTTCGAGGGGTGGCGCTTGCTGGAGTGCGAGGAGCTATACTCAAATCCCTATCTTTGATATGCTATTTGGGCAATCCATGCTGGGTTTCGCTATTATTTTCACAAAAAAGTTGATATTTACTGCCCCCTTATTCACTATTCACCGTTTTTAAATATCAATATACAGTCTTCCTAAATGCAATGTGACATGCCTCCATTTCGAAGGGAAAGTTGTTAAGACATAATTGATGATGTGCTTTAACCTGAAACCGAAGGAGGGTTGCCGGGTAGGCGAGATTGTTGAAGTGCGCGAGGAAGGCTACTAAACCAAAAGAGGTGGCTGGTCGCGGCCCTAGTCGTTTTTTATGCACCTGAATTCGCGATCTTAATGAGGCATCCTATAATTTGGATGCTTGGCTACTTCAACCTTACTTTACATCTCTGCGAGCGGGTAAGCTACCTTCGAGCCGGAGGTGCGTGCGGTGGCAGTTGCTTCCTTACATACATGAACTAGTGTGAAATCCTCTAGTGTTGAATCACATTTGGGTTTAAGGTCTTATCTATGGTCTGCGTGTAATGTCCATGTGATGGGGAGTGATAGTCCTAGCTAGACATCAGGATAGTCTAGCCTCTTGTTCAGTGACTCTTCTGTTCAGAAATGGTTGCGTCTGTGATACCGAATGTCGTATCCTCATTCCTCAATAACTAATTTTCCCACGTAAACCTTTTGAATGTGGGACGATTAGGACGAAGTTACAAAGAGGGGTAGAAATAAGAAAATGAGCAATTTTAATTGTAAATGAGGATACAGGGGCACTGGCGTGGGAGCAAGAAGAAATATCGGAATCGCTGGGTCTAAAGTTGTTCAATGGGCTTGCCTTCAATTGTAACTTGGTTCTGGGGGCAATGCCTTTCACTGATGGTACCGACCACAATTAGATGTATTTATCCTAATTAGTTTATGGTGTTGAGGGATAGGTAATTGAAGATACCTAAAGGATATAAGTAAGCTTCGCGTTTCCAGTGAATTTCACATATCTTTGCTTCCCAAAAGTTATTCTCATTCAGGCCTACTTATCAATGTTGGAAAATTGAGCAGCCGGTCGTCCTTCATCACTAAACGAAATAGGTTGAATATATCTCATACATTTTGTCAACGAGTAGTACCAAAATCATATTTACAAACGAATAATTAATACTGTATCCGATTTCTACGTCAAATACAACTTTGCTTCATTGGCAATCCCACCACAGAATGTGATATGGCAAAAGGCCCTGTCTTCCGTGAACTTCACGTCTGCTCTGTGAACTAAGGGAACTCATGAAAGTCTGGGCTGGTGGTTAAGGCATCAATATTATACGCCACATTATCTCTTGGGAAGCAAAGTTATGTAAATCTCAATGGAAACTTAAGGCCTACTCATATCATCACAAAGAAAAATTCAAATACCTATCCTTCATCGCCATAAACTAAATAGGATGAGTACATATAATACATCTTATCTGTGTTTGGCAATTAGGAGAGCCTATATAAGGGGGGATCTGCGAGTGTTACAATTGGGTGGTCGTCTGCATATTTGCAAGAGTAGATAATATTATTTATCGTATAAGTAGGCAACAAGACTATGCAGTTCGTTTGCTTGCGTGTGCATGTTTTTTAATCCTTGAACATATATTTATTTCATCGTTATTGCATTTCCAATTACTCACCTAGACTACATTATTTTAAAACGTTTTTTAGAATTTTTATTTCGTACGTGTGATTTGTTCCGCACTTGCTTCCTTATTAGACGTTCGTTCTATATAAATAGTCCGGCTTAATGAGTTAGGCTTACAACCGGTTCTGGTATGTTTGAAGCAAAGTTAAGTAAAGAATAGCGTCATTATGGGGCCTTCTACTGAGTAAAATTAGAACTTTAGTTACCCTAGATCGTTTAGATGCTTTATGGACTAATAGTGTGTGTTACCACAGTAAAATGAGCGGGTAGTCTACCTAGACTGACCTAAAAGATTTTATTATATAGGATATACTATTTTTGGACTCTCTTGGGTCTCATCGCTACTCTCAACAGGATTCGAAATCGGGTTGTGCGCAAAAGTGAGAAATATTACCGCTAAACCAGAACTACAAGTTATAATATAGGTACACTACAAATGTGAATTTTAGGCCTATGCCTCTATCATTGCCCTTTCTTTCCAAGACTGCTCCTCGATAATTGACTTAAATTCTAACTCCTAGAGATCCAATCATCCAAAATAGTTCATAAATCTCATCATGGAAATTATTGCACAGCGGTATTCGCTTATTCCTTTGATCTGCACACCTCTAGTGCCAGCCATTCACCTACAAGTTAGGACATGATTCTTATAACTTGCCTGTCTAAGAGGGATATGCCTACGGTTAAACTAGGTATTTTACCATAATGGAGTTATTTACAATCTAATTATTGATCATTTTAACTAAGGCATTCTTGTAAGAATTTTTTTTACAAATACACAATAAAGCTAAGGCTGGCGGAAACGTATCCATTTCTGACAAAAAAACTCAGCATTGGGCTCATACTCATTTCTAAAAATATTTTCCCATATACTTATAGAGCGCAAGACAAAATTAATATGCGAATGTTGAATATAACAAATTTGCAAATGAGCGAGGCAAAGTTATTCATATATAAATTTATCTCTTATAGGATGAAACATTTTGTTTGTCATAAAATAATCCGCTTAACGTGATTTTATCCTTCCTAGAAATTAATTCCTTGGAAAATATTTTAAGTATTTGAAATCATTGCGAATATCTTCATCCGCATAGAAAGTTTCGATCAAAATAAGGAAAGAGTGCAATGCTGACTTTTTTTTCATACTTCGTTTTCTTATTTCTTGATAGATATTCAGAGATCCATTTTAGTTTGAAAACCTAAAACCTGGTTACCGGCGCATTAAAAGCCAAGACAAAGCATCTTTAACCCAGTTAAATAAGACTAGCACGACTCATAGAAATCATGTTCGTAAGAACTCATTTGTTTATATATGTATAATCTAGGCCCTATAAGATAGGGGAATACATAAATAAATTACAAAATAAAGCGAAGAATTGGTAAAAAGTCAATAAAATATTTCCAATAAATGGAATAGGCATGTTACTGCAATCACCATTTGGTATGAACAGGGTGACTTGTCTTCATTAGGGTGTGAAGAAGATGCACGCTTTGCCTGTTTTATGTACGGAGATGCATAATCAGGGTAAAGCATGAGCTAAAATCCGTCTGTAAATTTCTCGCAGATGCTCTTAATAGTAAGGCAGATCATGCGTGTGTGGGATTGCGATAAGTAAATTTAAATAAAAATACAATAAAAATGGTAAATTCCAATGAAAATTGAGGTTTATTCTCTTTAGAGAATGAAATGGAATGAGGGAAAGAGCTTGGTGAATCGCCCCTAGCATAAGCATGCTTAGTTTATGTAACTTTGCTCGTGTGTGTGCACTTATGCCGAATAACTGTTTGTTTCGTGTAAAAGGTATGGTTGAATGGGTGGGAATGTGCATTGAGTTGGCCAAATATTGCCATATAAACGGAGATTAAGGGAAGTTTATTCCAAA